AGTGTCATGAAACTTCATGGAAGTGGAAGGTTAGAATGAAGGGTAAAATCTGGTCAATAGTCAGTAAGAGCACTCAGTTTGTGGGACAGCAAAAGATCTGGTGGTGGCAGTGGGGAGAAGCAGGCAGGACCAGCCACAGAAAGTCACACTTTTGTATGAAACTGGTAAGCTCTGAGTACTGGCTTGGGAGAAAAAAGATTTCATCATGGACCTAAAGCAGATCAGACTACACCAGAAATTTTCCTGTGTATGCCCAACTTATTTGCTTTCACTTTATTATATTACTATCTCAAACATTACTCTAGTTAAATTGTTAATAAACTTACAGAGTGCTTATTTTATGGCAGGCATCTGCATTAAGTTTTTGGAAGAGAGGGAGATAGAAAGGTGAACAGAATATTATCCACGTCTTAGAAAATTTGGGAAGGAGCAGAGTAGGTAGGAAATAGATATACAAAACAATTTTAGTATCTAGATGATTAGTAAGGTATGGAGTAAATACTATGGAAATAATAAAGATGAAATAAAGAAACAATTAGCTAGAGGAAGCCAGTGAAGGCCTCATTCTTGGAGCACCATTTGGACTGGACTTTAGGGAGTAACAAAAATTTGTCCATGCAATAAAATGGAGGTGTATGTTCTAATAAGAAGAAATAGTGTGTGCAAAGATAAGTGTGTTAGAGGCCATGGGAGAAAATAATCCTAGAACAATGGGACGAAGACAAGGATTGGTGGCAAAGTGAATGTGAAAGGCAAAAAAGAACGAGGGAATGAGGAGAGAGCTAAAGTTGCTGAAATCCATTAATTGAGATGGGAAATACATAAAAATAGGGAGAACTTTATTTTCAGGGGAGTGAAGAATATTTTGAAAACATTAAACTGGATCTCAGGACATAAGTGAGAACTAAGATAAATATTTGGAAGTTATTTGGCAATAGTACTAGTTGAAGCTTTTAGAAATGGAGGACATCCTGGGAACTGTGTAGCGATAAAAGAATAATAAAATCCTTACAGAAATAATTATTTAGGGATAGCTGGAAGATGTATTTCCTTAAAGAAATGGAATAGGAATAGTAAAGAGAAGTAGTAGTGGAAAACGGTGCTATAGAAATCCCCCCAAAGAAAAGAAGCATTGGTGGCAGGGCACAGTGGTTCACGCCTGTAATTCTAGTATTCTGGGAGGCCTAGGTGGGTGGATTGCCTGAGCTCAGGAGTTCGAGACCAGCCTGAGCAAGAGTGAGACTTGTCTCTAAAAAGAATAACCAGGTGTTGTGGCGGGCACCTGTAGTCCCAGCCTTAGTCCTCAGGTGGCTGAGGCAAGAGGATCACTTGAGCCCAAGAGTTTGAGGTTGCTATGAGCTATGATTCCATGGCACTCTACCAAGGGCAATAACGTGAGACTCTGTCTCAAAAAAAAGAAGCATTGGTGAACAGTATTAAATGAGAAAGATAGCTCAGGTAGAAAAAATATTCCAAAGGTTGACTGTGTTTGTCATTAGGGTGCTTGCTAATCATAATAAGTCCTAAAATAATATTAATATTTTGAGATTATATAGATATCTATATTATTTCCATACTTCAGAACATAAGCTTCTTATCTCCATCCTCATTTAAAAAATACTAAGTTTTGAATGGTAAGATGTATCATGTAAATAGTTAGGAGCACGAAAATGGCAGTGGTTCCTGCTCTCAAGCGACTCATAGTCTAATAGGAAAGACACATAAACAGATAAACAACAAAATAACTCCCTTTGTAGGGTAACAGGTTCACCTAATAGAGGATATTGCTGACTTGAAAAACTTCCAATAATACTTTTTTTAAACACAAAATACTATGACAACACATGGAAGGGACTGATTTTACTTTCTAGGACATTAGAGAAGACTTTGTAAAGAGGACACATTGAATCTGTCTTCCTATGTTGATGATTGTGATGATACTAATAATATAATTTATAGAATGTCTATAACAGTAACTGACACTGCACTGGGCTACCCAATTATTCCTCATTAGAACACTTCCTGTGAAGCCAATATTATTATCTAATATCTGAAGAATTTTTGCTTAGAGAGATTAAGTAATTTGCCCTAAACCTCATGGGTAGTAAGTATGAAAGCAAGGACTTAAACACAGGACTGTCCGACTTGACTGCAAAGCCAGTTGTCTGTCCTATATGCAATACTGACTCTCTTAGGATAAATAAGGTTCTTATGGGGGAAAAGGGCAAAAGCTTCCAAGCAGAATGTCCAGTATATACAAAGGCTTTTTTAGTCTTAAAAAGGCAAAGCACTATTTTATTATTTTTTTTTTTTTTTGCAGTTTTTGGCCAGGGCTGGGTTTGAACCTACCACCTCTGACATATGGGACCAGTGCCCTACTCCTTTGAGCCACAGGCGCCACCCAAGGCAGAGCACTATTGATGACGTAGTACACTATGGAGTGACGTGCTACGAGAAGGAGGGATGATTTAACATGCATTGTTCCAAAAACATTACATGATGTATCTCATCTAATTCTCACAACAATTTTAAGTATTATTGTCTATGTCAGCACAAAGGTTTAAAATAAAATGTCTAAGTTCACATACACGTTCTGAATCAAAGCCTGAATTTTTAAACCACTATGCTATATTGCTGAAAATAAGCCACTATGCTATATTGCTGAAAAATTTAAGCATTTTTGTTTTTTTACCATGACCATATATTCCTTGTATAACTCGTTAAAAATGGGCCACTGAATTTAGTAGCTAGGAAATTACCGGCTATCTTAAGAAAATAAGAACTAGTAATAGTATATTCAGTAGCAGAAGAGTAAATGGGAATTGAAAAATTTAGAGATAGTGAATATAAATCAGTTATTCAAGAAATTTGAAGGAGAAAAGAGTAATGTGAATCCTTTTAAATTAAACTTTAAATTACCTGGAATACTGATATATTTTCAAATAACTCTAAAATATTTGCTATAATATTACTTTCATGCCAGGCATGCTGGCTCACGCCTATAATGCTAGCACTCTGGAGGCCGAAGTAGGGACTGCTTGGGGCCTGGAGTTTGAGACCAGCCTGAGCAACATAGAAAGACTCCATCTCTACAAAATCTACAAAAACTATCTGTATGTGCTGATGCATGCCTGTAGGGCCAGTTAGCCCAGGCAATAGAGAGAATCCCTGTTTCAAAAAAATAAAATTAATTTCAGATTATGTGGAGAATACTAATATCTCAACTAAGAGGTTTGGGAACTAATGTTACAAAATCTTATAACTTGCTTTCCTTTAAGAGGATGATCATCCTCTTTAATTCAATAAAACAGGCTGATTTCCACATTAACTGCAATGAAGATCCACTTGGCCCAACTGACAGCAATTAAAAATGAAATACAATGAATAGAATATGAAAAGGAAAGCCGATGATATTTCATTTAAATCTTATTGTGGATATTAGTCAAGAATAAAAGATGTAGCATTTAACTCTTGTAAATGACATAGGTATTATGTTTAAACTCTGATCCATATATTGATGCCATTCCATTTACAAAGTCTTGATCATTCTGTGATTAAATGTAAAAATTAAAGATGATATAATGAATTTTTCAAACAGATAAAATTATTTAATTTTAAGCATTATTTGAGATGATGTTATTTCTACTTACTGGAATACAAAAGTTCTTTCTTTTAAAAAATAACAATGATAGTTGATGGAATCTAACAAATAAACAAATGGTGACAATATTTCCAAAGATGTTTTGAAAATCTAATTGGTCTCTGGGAACTGCTACTTTAGGAAATTGAAGTATTATACAGAAATTAAAGAATTACACGTGAAGAAAACCCTGAAATTTGTAGTTATTTGTACATTTTGAGCACAAAGAGGTAAATCAGTTTCTGGCTGTCAAAAGTTACTGATTGTGATTTATAATGAAATGAAATCTACTTATATTCTCAGATCTTATTGTATAATGTTATATATACTGTGAATAACTGGATATAATTTCTAACTGAATATAAACCTAATCTTTACAAATATATATAATACTTACATAAACCAAAAGTTTCAAGGTATGCTGGTAGTAAAGATTAATAAACACAATTTCTAAACTGTTTTTACGTGGTTTTTAATACAGACCTAATCATGAGCTATTAGTCTAAATACAGTTTCAGAGATACTGGCAAACGATTGAAATGACTTATTTTCAACTAAGCGGTCTGGGAACTAAAAAATACTGAAGAGAAAACTACTGTAAAACTGGAAAAAATTGTTATGGAAAAAGATGTGTCTTAAAAATTGAAGGCGATTTGGTCTGTGGATGCTGTAATGCTGTTAAAAGACATAAAGAAGGGTCTATTATGTAAAAACTGCCTCAGAAAATTCTGCTATAATGTTCAACTCCCATAAATTAACAAATGGATTCTTTGCCTGTTAATTTATTTGTTAACACTTTGCTATTATAAGGACTGACTGATAATGCAGATTTATTTAAATTTTAATAAAAATGCAAAGATCATTCAAAATAAACATTTATGTACTATGAAAAGCTGCATTGGATACTTCAGAAGAATAACACAAGAAAATTAATTTCACTGTACTGGATTCCATATACCTAGGGGTCTTAGACTACAAGGTCACAGATGATCTCGACTCAAGCAGGATTATCGCCAAGCTAAATGAGTACAGAGGAACTTGACAGCCTCTTCCCCTTGCTAATAACTTTACCTATTAACTTAGGAATATGAAGTGACTTAAATAGCATAGCCTCCGTGAAGTGATTATCAGTTATTAAATAAAATGGTTTGCTCTAAATAGTAACAATGATTCCCAAGAAAATGACTCTTTGACCCCAGATATGGATATGATATGTAATCTAGAAAAGTTCATTTTGTTCAATCTACTTCTGTCTTAAGCTATTAATAGCATGAATAAAAGTATGTATTGTTCTTTTCCAAAAGAAAGTGTTTTTTGTTTTGTTACATGTTTTGGAAATGATGCAGGACATTTTACTTACTTCTGAACTTTTTCACTAGCCACCTGGGAGGCCTTTACGGCTTCCTGGAGCTGTAGTTCCATGTTTGCTTTCTCTGTCAGAGCTTGGTGCAGTTGGGCAGCCAGTTCCTCATTCTGTTGCTGAGTGATGGAAACAATGACCTCTCTGTTTTTTAAAGCTTCTTCATAGGTAGTAAGGGTATGGTTAAACTGCTCCTTCAGATTTTCTTCTTGAGATAAAGAATTGTGTAAACTGAGAAAATACAAAAATAAAGATAAAATAAGCAGGGCGATCAATGATCTATTTCACAAAAAGCTCCATTTAGCACCTCTATTGTCTAAAACTCAATAAAAAATGCTTAAATGAATCAATGAAAATAATTTTTATATCACAGTATTATAAGTGATAATTTCTCTGCTACTCAGTTAAAAGCTACCTAGACAAATGATTTTGCTATCAAAACATACAAAAAGATGCTGCAAGATGTTAATTTAATTATGTCAGTGTAACTACTACATTCAATTATCTTTAAAACAGAGAACTAGAAAATAAAGTATCTCTAGGCAAATAAAAGAATAAGCTGACTGCAAAGAAGTGAGAGATAGAAGAGTGGGTATCGGTTAAGCAGATCCAGGGTCTATTCTGCTAAGTGCTTAATGGTAATGAATGAGGTTTATGCAAATACCAACGAGCCTTAGACACAGCATTTTCTACTTGTCGCAGCTGAGATGTAAATGAAGTTAAAATCATTAGTTGGACTGCACAGAAATAATACATATTCAGATATATTTTTGGTTAATGAATCTTAACAACAAATACCTGCACTCATTATGTTATATAGAGCAACAGCATATAAATTAAGACTAAATGAATGCAGAAGAAAATGCAGACAAATAGAATCCTAAAATGCAAAAGGTCAAATCTTTGATATGTCATTACACCTACCACCTGAGGTTATTTTGAAATGGCACCAAGCACCTCACTCAATTAAATAAAGACATTTTGAAAATATAAATATTTAATAAGGGAAATTTAAAATCCACATAGGAGATGTTCTTTTTTATTAAATAAAATCATTTCAGTATATGCATACAAAGGAAATGTCGATTGGAGACCTAAAGTAAAACAACCTAACTATGAAATACAGATTGATAATGTGGAAGAAAGCAATATAATTCTTAAACCTGCAAAAAGGTAGTCTGTGAACTTTAGCACTGGCCTCCTCTATCTATCTAGTCTAATACGTTACTTAAAACTGTTCAAACTAATTATTATTTTTTTAGTTTAAGTTACCTATAATATACCTGCACAGTGTTCTTACTTTGGAGAAAGTGTCCCATAAGAATAAGATGGACATAAAAAAAGGACAGTCAACATACCAAATGAAATCATTTCAGGATTCAAATCTGTCTCTAGGAATAGAGACTGTTTCTAAACTCTGGTCAATCGGTTACTACATATAAAATTACAATAGTGGGTAGTGCCACATTTGTAGAGTGCGAAAAAGTATCTTCCTTCATGTTTTCCCACAACATTATTAATTTAACTATGTCATGTCTCAGTTCTGCCAACCCACATGCTTACAGACTCGGTCCCTTCCCCATTTTCCTGTTCTAACTATGTCTTCTCGCACTTTGTGCTTCTTATCTGTTCCAAGTTGGAATTTTCTTCAGTTCACTTTCTTTATCTACTTGAAAGATACATGTAAAAAATCAAAACAAAAACAAAACCTTAAGATATTGTTTATGTTCTTTACATTTAAAATATTACTTACATTTTAATTGTTCATTATACTATAAGTTACATAAAGAGCAAAGTATTGAGCTTGACAAAATGTAAAGACTAAAATACAAAATAAATGCATAAACTTAGAAAATCCCCTCGCGCTGCTTCCCAGCTGATTCCCTTCCCAAAAGGGGGAATCCGATTTCTGTCAAGAACAGTATTGCCCATTTTTGAACTTTTTGTCTGGCTTACTTTGCTCAATATGAGGTTAATTAAATTCATACTGTTGTGCGTAAATCATTGTTTTTCACTGCTCTGATATATCTGTTATACACATATTTCTTAACTTATTAAACCAGTCCACTGTTGTTGCTATGAATATTCTTGGATGTGTCTTTCGGTGGACCTAAGTATTCCTTTCTGGTGTACAATTTCCCCATAGGGTATATATATGTTCAGATTAAGAAAATGCTGCAGTCTTGCAAAAGGTTGTACCAATTTATATCCCATCAACAATGTATGAGTTGCTCTCAATGCCAATTTGATATCATCCAACATTCTAATATGGGTGCTGTGATAGTTCATTCTTTCAATGCTGTCTTTTGATGAATAAGTTCTTAATTTAAATGAAGTCCAATTTATCATTATTTCTTTAATGGCACTGCTTTTGTGTCCTATTTCCTACTCTATTTATATTTTCGCCCTATATATACAGGACATAAAGTTCGTGTGCAATTTTAAAACAGTTTAACATAGCAAATTGGACACGAACTTTATGGACATCCTGTATGTATACTATATGGTCTCATTTAAAACTCACTGTGGGACAGCTTAGTTTAGGAATTCTGTATTTGTCCATCATGTCTAAAATACTAACCATTATACTACATAACCAATTAAATATTAAGAATCAATGATTCCATTTTTGTATCTCATCAGTATTAAAATTATGGCATCCTGATTTAATTCCTTTATCATTTTCACTTCCTACTATTTTCTCATTTAATCTTTTTGGGACAAATTTATACCTGGTATTGAGTTTTCTCTCAGATGGACATGTGTTGGAACTTTTACTTTCAAGCTCAAAAAGCTACTCATCATTCAAAACGCCTTGGAAAGCTTTTAATCACCATCAAGACTTTCTCAAACGAAAGCAGTAGTTGAGTGGTCTTTTATGAAAAGATAAAGTCACTGGAAACTTGCAATAGCATTTAATTGCACTCAGAAAACAACTTCTGAAAAGAACAAGTTATATATTTTAAGTCACTAAATCTCATAACCTATGTGAAAAATCCTATTAATATTCCTTTGTTCTTGAAGAAGAAATTCAAACAAAGAGAAGTAACTTAATCAATCCCATACATGCAAGCAGAGCCAGAATTTGAACCCACATCCTTTCTCCCTGCACTTGAACACTCCTGTATTTCCTGTATTCTACGAGGCCACGTATCAGTATCTGGCTTCTCTACCTCCTTCCTTATCTTTTAGCCAGGCACTCAGATTCTCAAGTACATCAAGCTTTTTTCTGTTTAAGGCATTTATTTACTGGGAATGACTTTCCTTCTGTGCTTCTGACAAACTCCTACTCATCCATTAAATCTCAATATAAATATTGCTTTCTCACATAATTCTTTGTGACTTTAATCTAAATTCTGATGTTGCCTCTTTCTTAGTCTATCTCATAGTATCTACCCTTTTCTTTCTTAGAACTTACAACAATTTGCAGTTTTTTCAATGTCATCTTGTAATTTACTTCCCAATTCCAGCATATTAATACTACATGTACATAGGACAATTTTATGAGAATACATTCCTTAAGAACCTGACTATGTGGGTCATTATGAAAGTTCTGGGATACACAAAAATCAGGAATCATAAAATACATGTGGACAGAAATGCATGAAGCCCTCTCAGCAACACTGATAAGCCAAGCAAGTTGAAATTTGCATGTGTCAATCAGACAGGACACTGTCAATTGTGTTTCTTACGAGTGAAATAATGGACCATTATTATAACACAGTCTGTCTTAAAACTTTCATAGTGACCATGTAAATCAAATGCTTATAATTCCAAGGAAATTTCCCTACAAGAATGAAGATGAAGAAGGAGGCTATATTCCCAGCATTGAAGCACATTTCTGCTTTAGTTCTTTTTCCCCAGAGCACTTTTCCCTAAATTGGCAATAGGGTCCCAGTGTTTAGCTTTCTTCAAAAAATCATATCACATTTAATATCTTTACAAAGTTAGTAATTTTCAAATGCATTTTTTAGCATATGAGCATCATTACAACTCAAGAAAATTTAAATTGTATGGGAACATATTTTAAGTTACAGTAAAAATAAATGGTAGTCATTAAATCACTCTCAGAAGAGTCATTAACTCACAGAATTTCAAAGCAAGTAACCAATAGTGTGGCTCTTACAATATCCACCTGGGACAGTAAATGTTTCTGTTTCCATGAAGGTAATAAATTAAGAGGATAAAGTTTTAATTCACTCTTCCAGTTCTGAACTTAAATAATCCTTAGTGAATTTAATGTTCTAACTTAGCAAAGAAAGTGAGACTTTAAAAATGTTTTTACTGAGTAACATTTCATATTATCACATCCAGTAAGCCTGTCCATTACCTTCCGTGCTGCTGTCTTACTTTCAATGGCTCCTGGTCTATTTCCTTATGCCTGTGGCCCTATTTTCCTGGTATCTGACTCTCTATACTGCCTCAGCTTAAGACATCTTGGAGTATCCAGTTGATGATCCACTTAGATGATATTTATGTCTCTCCAATCTGTCAAGTCCTTACACGAAAACGTGTTACTCATAATCCGACAATAGGTACATACTCTTCTTCTTATGCTTCATTTCTTTCACAGCAATTGCTCAATTGTGTGTTCTATCAATGCTGTTTATTTTAATTGGATAAATATTTTGGAATAAAATTTAGAGGTGAGGTACAATAATACAGATCAGTAGTTATTAACCGGAAGTTATTTTTGTCCTTCAGAGAACATTTCACAATGTTTAAAGACATTTTTGGCTATCACAACTGGAATGAGGGTGGAGGAGGTCACTACTAGGATTTAGTGGATAGAGGCCAGAGATGCTGCTAAACATCCTATAATGATGCATTAATGTACACTGCTATGATTTAATAAAAAAAAAATCCTATGCTGAGGAAAGAACCCCACAACAAGGAATTATCTAGACAAACAGTTCTCAACCTTCCTAATGTTGCGACCTACAAGTTGAGAACTGCTGATCTAGACCAACATGTCAAGAATGCTGAACTTCGTGTAGATAAAAAGATGTCAGGTTGAATATAGAAGATGTAGATCCAAATTTCATTCTTAACATTCACTCTGAGTGACCTTGAGAAAAAATAGCTAATTCCCTAAATATTAATTGCTTCAACTCTAAAATAGTAAGAAAAATATCACAGAGTTCACATGAGAATAAAATGGGGTAATCTGCATGTATGAAAATATCTGATAAAATACCTGGCCAAGACTAAGCATTCATATCTGTATAATT